ATTACACATGTATATTACAAAATCATTACACATGTATATTACAAAATCATTACACATGTATATTACAAAATCATTACACATGTATATTACAAAATCATTACACATGTATATTACAAAATGTGTGCGTTCCTTCCATGTCTGCGTGATGACGTGGTAGTGTAACGTAGGGCACGTGCAGCCCACGGTTGCACAACTCCTTCTGGGTAAACGCTCGCTGTCCTGCACGTTGACATTGGTGCAGTAACCTGACAGAGGAACCTTCTGGGCTCACCGCTAGAACAGGTCAGCTGCTTCTCTCCTGTCCCATCTTCGTCTCTGTAGCTCCTGTCCTGAGACACGCGGGGCTCCCTGCAAGCGTTGTTAACCTGCTCTGCTTCAAAAATGTTTTAGGACAAAGAGCAAAGAAGGAAGTCAACATATCAGCTAGCGTTAGCATGGCTGCTAGTTAGCGTGGCTAGGGTTTACAGGGAGTAGTTGGTGCTGAGCCTGGTCGTCATTGTTTATGTTCTGTATACTCTGTTGGGATCACAGACTGAACCAGAGGAGTGTGTGTGTGTGTGTGTGTGTGTGTGTTGTGCTCTAAAGGTCCAGGAACTGATTGTGTAAGTCGTGTATGTGCAGTAGCTCCGAAGCTGTGATGCTAACGTTAGCCGTGGGGTTACCCAAGGATAACTTCAGACAGGATGCAATGTCAGCCTCTCCTGTCTGCAGCTCCACCCGGGTACGGCTGGTTCATGTCAGCCACAGGAGCTCACCGGAGACATGCACTGTCTCCTGACACCTTCAGTGGTGTCCTGTTAGCTGCAGCCATGCTGTTTTATTCATTTTGCTGATCTGGACTGATGCATGAAGCAGGAAACATTTAGCCCGAGCCGCTTGTGATAGATTTGTCCCCTCCAAATAAAAGTACATGCTTACAACTGAGTGGCCATTTTAAAAGGGTCAGTGTGTACGTTTTAGGTGAAAGGGATCTGTTGGCAGATATTTAATATAAAATGATCCTTAGGATTTATTCTATTCCCATAGAATGGCCCTTTATATTTAAATACTTTATATTTACGTGGGGAGTGGGTCCACTCTATGGAGGCAGCCATGTTTTTTACAGTAGCCCAAACTTAACACCTTTTTGGTTTTTATGACAAATGAAAGCTACCACGGCTTCTCTAATGTTTGGAAGGGGAGGGTGAGGTGAGGGGTGTTCAGCTGCAACATCTAAACTCACCACTAAATCCTTCACTTCTGTGTTTCCTGTCACTCTAGTTATTTTCCCTGTGTCTGACAAAACACCCAGGTTACTGTAGTGAAGAGGAAACATCGGCTCAAAACTGTTTACTGTCCTGACCGATGTCTTCTGTGTTGTTTCCCCATCAGACAGCGCAGGATGGGAGCTTCCATGTCTACACCCGCTGCTCCTACAGTGAGGGCAGAGGCTATGATGGCTGCCCCTCCGCAAGGCTGCCCGATGCACCAAGAAGCTAAGCCTGTCGCAGGTAGAACATCACTAATGTCTGCTTGTCTGTCTGTCTATCTGTGGAACGTGTATATTGTGTTGTCTAACATCCTCACACTTTGCATGTCTATTGTAAATCACATAAATACAGTGCGAGTTTCATTAAATACGGACACTTGACTAGTCAATATTAAAAATTGTGTAATGAGTTGCCCGGCGCCCTGTAGCTGTCAGTAGGGGGAGGCAGTGAGCTAATTTTCTGTGGACCAAGGTTGTACAGGTCTTGTCAGCAACCAGCTGTCATGTCAACAACATTCTTGAAATCACTCCTTCTTTAGCAGGTGTCTTACTGTATTATGTAAATATAATGTATATTACATTATATCTGTACACCATTAAGAGAAGAGTGCCTGGCTAATTCCACAGATACTCCCTTCTCTCTCTAAGCAGTACCCAAGGTCAGGTTATAGATAAAGGACCAACCAACAGAACATTGTAGTGTCTACGCTTAGAGACTTTCATATCTACCTCAGATTCCTCAGACAGAGAAGCACCAACTGCAACTCTTTTTTGTATTACACCAGTATCCAATAGGATGTGAACACCTCTATGTTTCATAGAGAGTGACAGCAATTCTAGCCATTCACGGATGTGCTGTTAGAATGGGTGACGCAGGGTGAGGAAGATTTATGAGGATGCTGTGGGAGACATCTTCAGACTTGAAGGTGACAATTGCTCATGTTACTCTGTTAGTGTTTGTATATTGTTTCACCTTCTGGTCCTTGATGCATCAAGTCTACATTCAAATTTTCTGCATAAGACATCAGCTGCTGCCTGAGTTCTCCTTTCACCAGCTTCCAGAAAACTTTCATAACAATGACTATATGTATCATTCTGAAGTAGCTCTAGATTATTACCACAGGCCAAGAAAACAAGCACTCCACTGGTATAAAACAATTTTAATAATGATAGGATTTTGTTAACGTACTGTCATTTTTCTCTGTCTTGCTTTCATAGTGTCTCCACCTCCGAGTTGCCCCATGCATCAAGCTCAACCTGTCACAGGTAGGTGTATAACCCTCTGGGTCATAGCAAAATCCCATAGCTTCTAAAGCTACTGCATCTGACCATGGTCTGTTCCTGTGAGGGAGTGGTGTTGACCCTCTGAGCAGCGCTACTGTGTCGGAGCAGACTGGATGCCACAGTGACTCACTGTCTTTAGTATCATTACACAAGTTAAGGAGATTGTCCCTCCTCAACTGCATTGTTTTTACATTTTTGTGTAGAAATTATTGAAAGCTTTGTTAGTACTGTTCTCATTAAGCCTCACTCATATGTTTTGTCTTCTGTAGCGTCTCCTCCGCCCGAGTGTCCGATGCACAAAGCAGAAGCAGGTCCGGCCCACCAGGAGCGGGCCTATGAGTTTGTGGAGTGTCCGATGAAAGCTTCAGCAGACATGAAAAGTGACATCGACCCAGCAAACATGGTACTTCCACAACTTAAGTGTAGGAATAGAAGGCACAAGAAGGTGAAAGCCAGTCAGCAAGACTTATGCTGCTTTCAGACACACACTGAACTCTGGAGAACCTCCAGAAGTCTCCCATGGTTTCAGAGGCAAACTCCGAAGAAAGTCTGGACTCAATTGCATTACATTGGATTGCAGTTAAGGGTTCAGTGTGTAAGATTTAGGTGAAAGTTATCTATTGGCAGAAATTGAATAAAAATGATCTCACTGATGTGTGATGATTGTGAATCTTAATTGTACGAATCGTTTTCTGAACTCGTGTTTGGAAGGGGAGAGTGAGGCGAGTGGTATTCAGCTGCAACATGCAACTTCGCCACTAGATGTCACTTAATTCTACACACCTTTAATTGAACCTTTAACAAAATAAGAAGCAAACTTATCATGAAGTAAAGGTTGACTAGTGAAATGTAACGACTACAGAATAGCAACAACTTGTTTTCTCTGTGTGGTTCTATCTGCGAGCGTCGGCAAAATAATTTTTTCCTGAAACTATTGGGAGATTATTGTGGAAATGGCAGACAGAGGAAAAATAGCAACTGTGGAAACTACTTGTTAAAGAAAAAGATCCTCATCGTTAGAGGAGGCAAAGAACCTGAAGAGGGAGACTTAATGAAACTGAGGTTAAACAAGAGGTAACATCAGATGCCCATTCATGGTGATCCATGGTTGAACTGGGACAGAAATTAAGATCAGAAGACTTTTCTGCTGGGAGTAATAATCAAGCAATAATCATGCTCATTCCTGTGTCGCTGATTTGTTTTCCCTTCCTGTTTGTCTACAGATGCCTCCTCCGAACCAAACACCAGCTCCGGACCAGCCCTTCAGCCTTTCCATCTCGAGAGAGGAGTCCAACATTCCTCGTCACGGTGCAGAGAAGAACTGGGTTTACCCATCTGAACAGATGTTCTGGAATGCCATGCTGCGAAAGGGGTCAGTTCTTACTGAATGGGTTTTTCATTGTAAGCAGCTGATGTGATTATACATAGTCCACCTTTTTGATACAGAAGGGAAAAGAGAAATGCACAAGAACATATTTAACGATTTTTTTATCAAGGTGGTCTCACAAATATTAAGTAAATGATCAGCTGTTTTCAGACACAATGGAGAATGTCTCCACTATCAGGGGGGGGGGGCTTTTTTCAGAGTTGAATTTAGTTGAGATTCTCCGGTCAGACGTATTGACGACAACTCAAATCTGCGGGGCAATCAGGCGAGGATCGGCGCAGTATGCAGGAGTGAGGACATTAAAAACCGATAAATTCAGCATGTTCACAGCACCTGACTCATACCTTTGCATTCTCACGTACAGCCCCTCCAGATAATCTCAGAAGATCAGCCAGAGTTCAGTTTATTCAGCTATTTAGACATCTACGATAAACTGACAGGTGCACAAATGAAAGATCCATGTCGCAGAACACTGTAGTAGGTAGAGAAATCAGCTGTTAACAGCTTAGGATGTGTGTTTTGAAATTAAAGTCCTGTATTATCGGGGGGAAAAAAACTATTTCTTTTTTTAGCTTTAATGATTAGAATGTAATGCCGATGCAGATGGTGTTGAAGAATTGAAGAAACTCCGGGTTGGTTATGAAGGGTTCTAAACTTGGTTTTACATCTGTTTCTGTACTATAGTTGGCGTTGGCGTGACGACGACCTCGCCCCTGATGACATGAACAACATCATTAAAATCCACAACCGGAACAATGAGCAGGCCTGGGAAGAGATCCTGAAATGGGAGGCCATGCATGCACTGTGAGTCATGAAACACTAACATACGAATCAGAAGTAAACAGCCTGTTCTTGATTCGATCTGCCTGTTCATCAAAGTATTGGAGTAAATGGTATTTATCTGATGGGTATTTGGTCTCGACTTTTCTTCCCAGTGAATGTCCATGCGGGCCGACCTTGAAGAGGTTTGGTGGGAAAGCCAAAGAGTTCTCACCCAGAGCTCGCTTCCGCCACTGGATGGGGTGAGTGACACGTTATCTGCTTTCATTTTAGCTCACAACTTAGATTTTAGCCCCAAATTTTCAGCACATGACTTTCTTAGTATGTCTTCACAAGAATACATTTAAATGGCTGTATTTGGTGGTACGGCCGAATAGCATGAGAGGGAAAAACCTCAGACCGACACGTCCCTCAGCGTGGAGACCTTGAACTGTGCAGCTGTGTGATGTTAGAGACATATTAGAAGCAGCTGATGCCTCACATCAAACACACTAAGCTGAAGAAGCATAATGAAACCAATACGTTCATTTCACCTCCGTCTCACATCCAGCGGCCTGCGTCATCGCTCTGTCACATCTGCGTCACTGTTCCATTATCCACTGGAAGCATTTCACATATGTAGCTGCTTCAAGGGGCCACAATTGCAGAATATATTAAAGCTGGTTTGTTGACATGTCTGTTACAGGCAGACTGTACTTCATTTGTTTTAAATACCTTTATTTTGTATCTGCATGTCCTAAATAATATATATATATATATATATAGAGAGAGAGAGTAATAGTTAAACCATAGCATTTTCGCATATGAGTAGGTGACATAAACAAACTAGAGAGCACATGCCTCCAAAATGGCCCAACAGTTTCTTTTAAATTCAATCAAACCGCACCAAATTACACCCACTCATACTTAATATATATTTCTGTATTAAAGGTCCAGTGTGTAAGATTTAGGTAAAAAGGGAACTATTGGCAGAAATGTATATTCATTTATTTTTTCGGACATTTGCAAGTGTGTTTTCTACTTCAGAGATGCAAGCTAAATACTAATGTCTGCAAATGGCTTTAGCTTAAATGACGACAGTATCACGATTATTTACATGGGAGGAGAGGATGTCGAGGCAGTAAAGAAACTCAGGTTTGTTGAAAATGGCAGCACAATGTCTTTGGCAGCTTTGACAGAGCTGGATCAGGATTCAATTGAATTTTGGGTCATATTTCATGGAGGAAGAAGAAAGTGTAAAATAAAATAAAAATCAAATTCTACTGTCAGTTTTATTTTTGCGTTGTGAGCCAAGATTATGTTACAGCCGCATAACTCAAAATCAGTAGAGCGCTCTTAATTCAGTAACAAGAAGGTACTATGTATTACTCTCAATCCAGTTTGAAGAGCTTAGAGTTTACAAGGCAGTTGTATTTAACATTAAACTCTGTATTGGGATAGGGAAACCAAACACCTCTGTAAACATGGACCACAGTAATCTCACTAAAATATACAGAGGGGCTGCAGGAGACAAGAGCAACAGATTTGCAGTGAGAGCTAACTGAGTTTGGTGTAGTACACTTAGGAACGTCCTCCCACGACTCAGCCCACACAATCCTGCAGCCTTCAAAGGATAAGTGATGGCTGGATCCTCTTTGTTCTGTCGCTCTTAGAAATCTGATTTCAATCAATGAATATATCTCTGTTACCTCTATCCTCACCCGCAGCTACGAGCTGCCTTTTGACCGCCATGACTGGATCGTTGACCGCTGCGGGAAGGAGGTGCGCTACGTCATCGACTACTATGACGGCGAAGTCAACAAAGACACCTACCAGTTCTCAATCCTGGATGTTCGCCCCGCCTTTGACTCTTTAGATGCCGTCTGGGACCGCATGAAGGTGGCCTGGTGGCGCTGGACCTCCTAAAGGACTCCGACATGCACATAGGTCACTGTGTGAACTTCATACACACAGACACACACAAAGACTGTGAATATGGCGTTCCTCATTTAAGATTTGTCCGATATGTGTGGTGCTGTGAAGAGAAACAAAGAAGACCTGATTTTGTAGAAGCTTTGGCGCACATACATGAAGCTTTGTCTGTTAATCATATTGATTCATGTGGAGAATATAACTTCATCCACTTCTTCAAACAGCATGTGCATCAGTGGAAGGAGGTGCTTGTCAAACTGGTCAAATGATGCCTCACACTGCTTCTGAGAATCTGTTGTTTCATTCTGTGCTCAATCCCAATGTCACCACAGAAAGAGCTTACTTAGAGGTTTACTAAAAACCTACCCAGTGAAGTTCATCAAAAGGAGATCTGCGTAGTCTGTGGAAACAGTTTAATATCCTCTGTGTCTCTGGGGGAGCTTTATCAAGTCTGAGAAAATAAGATTTATCACAAACAAAGACTCCCGAAATTTAAATCCCACTGCGTTTTCAAATTCACAGCACAGCAATTTGATTAACTTAAATGAAGATATAATTCCTTACAGTAGTCAGGTAAATTGTCGTCTTTGCAAAAAAAAAAACTGTCGTCTTTGCAAAAAAACTTCCTCTATTGTGGCAGATGGAGTCAAGTCTGACTTTGAGATGACATTATCAACCATAATTTCCTCTCGATGTAAATGTTGTAGAAATGTACGTTAACAGTGGCGTACATATGTACATACAGATCAAATATGCTTATATTTTTGTTCTTGCAGAAAAGACCCTTGTTTTATCTCATAGATGACAGTAGCTTGTTTAGAGGTTAGCCTAAAAGTCAGTTCATATACTGTATTATTATGTTGTAGTGTTCAAATCATATATTACTTTCCTATTTCACAAAAATGGATTAAAGTTCAAAAATAGCTCAATTAAACAGGATTCTCATCTCAGACGTATCACATTCGAACGGCTTTAAATTGACATCTGTCCTCTGCTAATGTTTCCGACATGGCTTTGGGCCATTTCAAAACATTTGGGGTCTTGTCAAGCGCTCTCCTTACAGTCGACAGTGCACCTCCTGGAGTACACAGCAACACGCCTGCCAAGTGTGATGTTGATCATATGAACGGTTGTTGAGGTTTTCTGGAATTATTAGTTTAATTTTAGTGCAACATTATCTGTAATTTCTACAGTGGTGTCAGAATTCTACAGAAAAGGATTAGGGACACTGATTTTTCTTTAGAAAGATAAAAGAATTCACAGAATTAATTCAGAATTATTTTCTTTCTGAAAAATACCTAATGTGGCTCTAATTCTCCAAAAGAATTCCCTGTCTCAGCTCTGGTGTTTCAATTTGCTGCGCTGATATTGATATTTTTATTTATTGTTTGAATAAGTGCAGATTTCTGTGTGCAGGATCTTGAGGTTTCTGTTCCCAGAAAATGTTCTTTACTAGCTCTGGTGGTCAACTTTCAATAAAGCAGGTTTTCTTCCTCTAAATTATTCTTGTCTCTGTCGTGGAAACTTGTTTGGATACCCTTCATGACCAAAAATCAGAGTCCAAAAGTCTGAGATCATGTCGGGCTTGACGTCAGGACTCTTATCAGTCGACTTCTACACCACAAGGTAATCCATTGTGTATGGTGCTGACTGTTGGGTGGGGATCGTCATGATAAAACACGCTGTTGTCTCAAACATTGAATAGCATAATATTTCTTTCTGTTGGATCTTAGGAGTCTAATCACAATGTCCACAGACCTCGGTCTATTTAATGTATTTTAGCACCACCTGCTGGACTGAATACAGTGTTACACGTTCCAACTGAGTTCTCAGATCATCGGTATTTGAGTGTTTAGTGACACGCTTTATTTTTCAGCCTGTCCTGTCAGTCCCTGCCGGGATGATGTGATGCGTCTCTCAGAGGTCACACAGAAAATCTGACCATCAGATGCTTTTTAAATCGATTGCAATTTTAAAAGTCAATCCTACAAATGACTGGAAGCCGATGGAGACTAAACTAACACTGCTGCACTGTGAGGTTTACTTCTAGTTCTTGATTAAAGTCTGGACCACTTTGAGCAAATGAGTCGTGATGCAACGCATTGATGAACCTTTTCAAAATCTATTGTGCTGAAGGGTCAGATCTTTTGCAGTGCAGTTTTAAATGTGAACACAAGAGGGAGGTGTTTCACTATAATTGGCTTTTTTTTTCAATGTTTTTTGAGGAACTGAACAATCAAAACATAGAAAAACCAAAAATAATGTTTTGTGATCTTCTTCTCGTTTGTGTCAGTTTTACCTTTAGATCTCAACCACTGACACCAGTTTGCATATTCCCTCCTGTGGGACTGATTATTCCACAGATCTGATTTGTCTCACTTGTCGCTTTCTGACAGATCTTTACAGAATAAAGTCAACACACTGAAGTATCCAGAGAACTAAATGGTGTAGGTGGAGTAAAATCCGCCCTCAAACACTTAAATGTTAACTTCTGACAGCCAGATATAACATCTCGTATGAGGTGTGATCATTTCTATTTTGACAAAAGCAGCACTTATTTATAGTGATGATCTAAGTGATGATTTGGTTCCACCCATTGTTCCCCAAACATGTAATCCACTGATGTTTCAAATAGCGCCACCTGCAGGTCAAATATTTTCTTTTCAGTGAAGCATCTGAACATGTGCCAAATGGATAGCCACCCAGTTAAAGACATTCTCGCCAGATCGCAACGACTTTGATGATTTTCCAATTGTGCGTTTCGAACTAACATCAAGATTTTCATTTGTTGAAGGTTTTGGATAATGAAATGAAAACATATTTCCATCAGCCTTACATGAGTCCTAACTGGACCTGATGCAGAGAAGCATGCAGGTGAACATTGTTTCTGTCTACTAAGGATGTGCTAACCTGCTCCATGCATCAGTGAGTCTGAGTGACACACACCACTCACCATGGCTTTATTTCTGCAACATACTTTTATTGGTGAAAATAATTTGATGGCGTCATTTCCCCTTCCCCTCCAGGCAGCATGTTGTTGTCCTTAAGATACGATGAGATAAGATGTACCTTTATTTATCCCCCGTAGAGGAATTTCACAAATGACACAGCAGGAGAAGAAGATAGCAGCGCAAGGGGAAAATACAGTCAGACTAAAAATATGAATAAAAATAGAAATATTATATACAAAAGTAGAGATAATGCTACAATATATTTACACAGGGCTGTTTTTGTTGTGTTCATTGTGCATTCTTTGTGATATATTGAGTGCAACATGTACAGCGGTTCTTTCCTGAGAAATGGTTTTCGGTATTTGACTGTAGGTGCGATGGTGTTGTGCAGTCTGATGGCTACTGGCACAAAGAAGCCCCCAAAGCGCTTTGAGGCACATGGATGAGTCTGTGGCTGAACGTGCTCCTGAGCTGGCCTCAGTTCAGCAGAGAGGGGTTGTCCATGATGGCGTGTAGTTTTCCTCTCATCCTCTTCTAAGTCGCCGCCTCCACACTGTCCGGTTCCATCCACACCACAGAGCTGCCTGTGAGAACATCCTGCTCTGTCCCTGCCTCAGTCTCTGACCTCAGTGTTGTCTGACCACACTGGTAGCCATTCGCCATCTCCACCCCCCTCCCCATTAATCTTCTGCTTATCTTATTTTCTCATGGAGGAATCCAAAGTGAAGCACGACAACACCAAATATTTGCTGATCACTGTCATTGTGAGCATTATTGTGATATTAGATTTATTTCTGTAAGCTCCCACAGAGTTGCTACTTTGGCTACAGACACTTACTGTCGTTATAATGCATTAGCCCATATTTGTTAAAAGGCATTTTATTCTTAACCGTCCACTTAAGTGCCTGGAATTCTATTGTTTTCAACCATGGATGATTGGAAAACGTCTTTCTCTTTGAAATAACTTTTTGCTCTTTACTCTGCCTCAACCCATCTTCTTTATTTCAACTTCAAGTAATTATTTTAACGCTGTCCTCAGAAGCCTTTAGACAGCATCGGAAAATATGAAAAAAAAAAAAGCAGCAGCTCAGTGCTCTAAGCCCAAAGTGCACATATGGCTACATTGAATTTCTGATCAGCTGTGGGTTATTCATGTAGGTGGATAGAGCAAGAGCTTGAAGCACAGTGAGGGCGGTGAATTACAACATGTCTTGTGGCTGCTGCATTGCATTCTGGGCTGTTTGTGTTTTCTTTTCTCAGTGAAGCAGGTCTCTCTGCCTCTTGAGTGATGGAGTCTCGCCTGTATGATTGTTGAACGACAGCGCGGGAGGAAAACATCTCGTCCACTGACATTTACAGTCCACGTTGAAGGCGACATGATGTCTCAACATGACGTCTCATCGGCCATAGTCAAACTGCATCAGGAATACAAGGGCAGTTGCTCTTTTGTGAGGATTTTTCCTTTAAATACATGACTGTGTGGGTCGACCACTGATCCATGCCTATGTTGCCTGAAATAATGTGTGCATGTTGATTTCCCTAGTGCTTCAGAGAGGCCAGCACAGCACACAGCAGATGTCCAAACCGCCCCTGGCATTCTTTGTGAAAGTCGGATATTTTATCATATCTGCTCTCCGCAGTCTCCATTTCCATACCAAAGAAGACCCTCTCTCGCTCCCCGTCTGCCACCAGCCGCCCCCTACCCACCCATTACCCAGCTCCGACCACTTGTCCGCTCACTGTCAGTCTCAGGAGTTGTCTGGTTAGAGAGGGAGGCTGCTCTCTCTGCTGTTTCACATGGAGATGGTGTGTTTGCTAGCTTATCAAATAATGATGGCTGAACATGCAATCATTCAAACGTCTTTGTGTGTGTGGGTGTTGGGACCTGATGTCAATTCTCAAATGTTTCTTCTGAAGCTATAATTTCAGCACTAGGCTGGAATGAAGAGGACTAGATACTGATTTTGTTAAATAAAGCTCAAATGTACTGAGGTAACATGGTACAACGTTTACCCGAACACACATCATAATGAAATATAATGTAAATGTAATTATTACCAAAACGTTACCAGTAGACAGAATATGATGCACTAAAACAGCTTCTTGACACATTTGAAATTGAATTCCAATGCATTAAAAAAAATATAGGCCAGTAACAAGCATCCACTAGAATAGGCAGACTTCTGCTAACACATCAACTTGATGGTATGATTGTATTCACAGCTTGAGAGCTGAAGAGCCCACCCTCGAACTGTAGCTTGAATCATTTGCCAAGATGAAAAACGATCAGAAGTGTTGTTTCACCAGGATTTATGTTTGAGAGGCCAGGGAACCTGCTGTGTTCTATAGGAGATGTTTAACTGCAGTAACAATGGTAACTTTACAATGTACCTTTAGCAAGCCTGCATATTTTTATTTGTGGCATAGTATGAGAACCTTTCTCTGCATATTTTGACAATTGCCAAAACAATTTTTCTTTATTTTTGGGCCTATTTTGGCAAACATGCTTTAGGCAAGGTGTAATCTGGAAGTGGCTCATGTGGTAAATGGTAAATCCTGATAATATAGTAGCATAAAACTAATTCGGGCCACCTTTTGCACCTTTCGTTGACATGTCATGTTGCTTTGGCTTATTTGAGGCCCAAATCTTGCAAACAGGAGCGGACCGGCCCAAGTACCACACGATATGTGGGCCGGAGGCTGGCCAAAACAATTTTGGTTTGTTGTTGTAATTGTCCAAAGGGTCAGTTTATCTTGACCTGTAGCAGAAGCGATTGAAAAAACACTTGAGGACTCAGAAAAGGAATTTCCAATATATGATCTCAAACACAGCCACACTAACCATTTTTGGATGAGCGATTGGATGCTGTTTGATACAAGAAAGGTTCCGCTGTGACCAGCTGCTGAAAACAACATCATCATTACAATCTGACATCAAGGCACCTCTCCACAGAGAAGCAGTTCCAGCCCCTTCTCCTTGTTTTAACTCAACATTAGGCAAATTAGGGTTATTTCTTTATATGAATTAAATTCTAACTAAAATTAATGTAGTAGGCCTGATTAAAAGTGTGAAGTGTGATGTACACATGTATTGTGGTTAAAAAAAAGCATTTGGAACAAAGATAAATAATCATGACACAGTAATATATTTAGCTCAATATCACTGAAGTTGTGCTCTTGTAAGTGTGCTGCTGCATTTAAGTGTCAGTTAAATTAGAATTCATGAACACACTTCTTTATTCGCAGTAATCTATTTTTACTACTTCAAAATGTGTATTTACTACACCACAAAGGAGTAGAGAAGCATGATGATGTATTCATTTACCCTTGGTTAAGCCAGCGGTGGATGTGGCTACACAATAGTGGCTCCAGTTGAAAGCTAGGTGTCTGTAAAGCCAAACTTAAAATGGTGTTCCTTGAAAAATCAAAAAAAGGCAGGGACAACTGACTATGAAAAAAATGAGACTGAGGTTGCTTGGCAACATAGACAAGAAGTAAAGAGAGACAGATCTATATGATGCAAGATCGTACTGCAGCAGAAGAAAATAG